TAATATAATATTTTTTCCAACGAATAACCAAGAAGTAGTATTAGCAAATTATTTGCAAAACAGAACTTTAAGTTTTTTAAATCGATGAAGAACTTTTTTACTTTTAATATTAACTAACAGAAATGTCTAATGTTCAAAACAGTGCAAAATTTTAAAAGAGAATGAATTTAAGAAATAAGAATTCTCTAATCTTTTATGCTTTCGAGCACAATATTTTCCGATTAATTACTTTCTTTCAAAAAAAAAGAAATCAAGAGATTTGAAAAAAAGCCTTATGAAAGGAAAAATTTAGACTCATATTTTTTTCAACATATGATTTGCAAAATTTCCGAATAATGCCAATTTCGATCATAATTATAAAATGGTAGAAAATGGGCGTTGTTATTCTGTGCTACTGCAATTATTACTTTAATGAATGCTAACCGAAACTAAGCATGACAGATTTAAAATTTTAACCTCCTAGCATTCCATTACCAATACTACTATCCATTATCGTGTTACTTAAAAGCGACACTAATAAAGTGACACTAATATGTCATCCTGATCCATTTTTTCTTTTCAATTTCTCAAAAAAATTACTCCATCTCTTCTCCCGAGAATTATTTCTTTCCTGGTAAAATTACATCACTGCAGTTACAAGTTTCACGGTTCTTTCTATTGCTCTTTGCAAGTCTAAAATTTATTTATTTGGCATATTTTGTTTTGAGAAAATATTGAGATGAATTATTCTTGACATCCTTCATATTCAAGGTAATGAATTTAATTTGCATATTATTGAAATCATTGCAAAATGTCACATCAAATTACCTCTTAAAGAAAACTCTGTTTAAGTATCCTCTATTGCCAGTTCTGAAAATACAATCAGATTATTAGAACTATCATTCAATGTAATACGTCTCTCTAACGCTCTCGGAAAATTTCATATATGAAAAAAAAGAATATAAATCGTTCGATCTCTTCTTCAATTGTTGAAAACATTAAATTTCTTATTGTAAACATTTATCATATAAACTTTCATTATTATTCAATCTTCACTATTCCGTATTATAATCAAGTATATTCTGGACGAATGTCTTGCAGGAGGAATTCATTGAAGTAAAATGAGTATCAGTAAAATTTACATTACCATCTTTCTATCATTAATATAGTTTAACGAAAGCTTACTAATTAAATGTTCGCTTATCGTTCTGTCCTTGTCATATTGCTATTTCATATTGACCAAGCAATTATGTCTAAATTTGTTCAGAAAATTTATTAGCTCATATTTGAGAAAGGGAAGAAATTTTTGGCAATTTTATATCCCCAATTTCATTCCTTTCAAACGGCTTATATCGGAGAAGTGCAGCCGAGTGGTAAGCGAGTAAGCTAATTTCTTCCTGTTTGTGTGTATGTGCTCAAATTTGAAAATTTAGGGGAAAATTAGACACATATTCATTAATGTCTGTCTGTTGTGTTAGTATGTATGTGTGTGCATGTACATGTATGTGTATATGTATGTGTATGTGTGTATGTGTGTATGTGTATGTATGTATGTGCCTGTATATGTATGTGTGTATGTGTTTATAGTTGCATGGGAAGATTACGGTAATGCGTTATTAGGCCTAATAAAGATAAAGGAAGGAAGGAGAAGGCGCGATGGGAGCTGGCAGAAATAAAGTAAGACGCGGTGAGAAGTGTAGTTTGTTAAGTTTGATTGGTGGTAAAATAGAGAACTAGAAAAAGGAAAAAGTATTTTAGATCCATTGAAAAATTTTTGCAATAATCGGTTTGGAAGCTTTTAACTAAAAAGAGAGAAAGGAGGGCCGCTGAAGCCAAAGCCTAAACAAGCCGTTTGAAATAATTATGGTGACTGCTTCTTTTGATTGCAATTTAAGCCAAATTTGCCTTCTCTTAACAAATATAAACTCATTCAGGGTCCATGCTGTCTTATTCAACCAAATTTCAGGATGATCTAACTGGACTTCCGGATGGAGTAGGCAGAGATATACTAGATCTGTAACCTTGATATTGTTTGCAGGTGAGAGATGAATGAAAGAGATGGATGATAGAAAGCTTTTTCACCATAGGTACCTCACCCTTCCCAATATCCGGTAATTTTCGAAACCTCAGAGGAGTTAGTGATGCATGAGTAAAATTAAAGCCATTTCGATAAGTAATTATTTTATTATACATAATTTAGCTGCTAACTGGGTCGATTAGTTACAACTTTTAAATTTCAAACTTCAGCTCTAAATTTTAGTTTTTATTGAATGCGAGGAATTTTCTTCATCATTTTTATTTTAGTGGATAGCTGTTCATTTCAATTTTATTATCTTTCAATAGTTATCGTACAATTCAGGAAAATTTTTTTAGAATTTTTTGCTATTATGAATATTATGAATGTTGAAAATTGAATAATTTCGATGATTTTATTGAATTTAATCAATTATATTACTTCATTTTATCGTATACGAATTAACTTTTTTCATTGTTACAGTTATATCAAAGAAATAATTTCCATTTTTCTTTCAATGCTTGCGTTTCTTCCTTCCAATTTCAAACAATCAAAATATGCTGATTAAAATTTAAGTTGTTTTTTTTAGTATAAATTGTATGAGGTCAAACTCGGTGCCGCATTCTAACAGTACCAACTGCAGCAGCATCAGTAACATCATCAACAATAGTAATAGAAGCGAAACAACAACAATAAGTGACGCAAGTTTCGACCATACTTTTAATCCGGTATGTAAATTTCCATATCATTAAAGTTATTAAAAAAAAATTATTAGTACAGTTTATCTTTAAAAACAATGACTGGACCAGAAGTACAGAAATTTTAGTTGTACACTATTTATTGGTTAATTTAAATGTGATGCTTCCAGTATCTGCTCTTTATTTGAAATTATTAATTTATCTTTAATCAAGCTTGTCAAATTATGAATTTATGGAATTGTATTGCTACAAGCATCTTTTAATTTTATTTTTTGTATCCTTGATCTAATCTCTGATTAAGGTAGAATTTTTCAAATCTTATCTATTAAATAACAATATTTCATCATCTAAAAAGGAAAAGAAGAAAGTGTCACTTCATGTTCTTTAATTAGTTTTAGGTTCATTTTTTTCGTAAGCTTTTTGAAACACAGAGTTCTTTCATCAACACATAATTGTTGTATATGGAAATTTGGTAGAGAGACGAAGATATGATGAAATTATAATTATTTGCTAATTATTACACAAATGCACTTTCCTCTTCCTTTTTTCTATTCGGGCAATTTGATCTCCATTGTATATTTTTGCAACGAATGTTGTAATTATATCATTCTTTAAAATATCAATCATTGGAAAGGTTTTTTCAAGTTCAGTTTATCAAAAATTATGTGTTTCAAGAACTATCGTTCACGAATTTTTAATTGCTAAAATACAATTTTATTCTTTCGTCTATCATATCTGAGTAGAAAGGCTATAATCGGTCGGTTAGTTTAATTCATTTGTTGTTCTTTGTTTTTAATAGTTAAATTTTCCTTCTTTTTTGAATTTATATTCATTTGTGAAAAAAAAAATTAATTGTTGACATTTTCGATTAAGGATAGTTTCTTAGATGCTATTTCACAATATCTTCCAAATGTATCATAGAATGGGAGAATAACATTAACTATCCTATCATTATCCTAATCATCTCAATCATCATAATCCTGTCTTTTGTGTCATACTGCCAGAGATCTTTTAACTTAGATTTTGAATCTTCACCATCAGATTGTGATCCACATTTCATAGAGAAGTGATTCAAAATCTAACAGGTATATGAAATTATTGTTATTCCTCATTATTATCATAAATATTGTTTGCGAGAAATAATGAATTGAATCGCTATAAACTGCGAGGGTTGAGAGAATAACACGCAGAAATATCACATATTGCAACCAGGTGTGTTCATATACTAACATCCTCCAAGCGGGTGCATCGGTTTTCGGGAATAACAAATAATCCGATAGCATAAAATCACAGTAGCATAAATTTTTCAACGTTAGTGAAAAAGATTTGAATGCCGTAAAATCTTGACTACAGAAATAAAAATGTAAATGGGCAAATGCAACAGTGAGATTTATAGGATATTGTTATTTCACAAGTTAATTCTTCAGTTTTCATAAGCTTTTAAATAATTTTTGAAAGTTTTATTTAATGCTAACATTTCATTATTTGCTGGTTTGTTGAGAAATTGAAATCAAATGGATCGTATATTTTATGAATTTAAAAATGAATGAAATTTCATTCAAATTTTTTTTATTTGAAAAGGTTAAAATTATTTATCCAAATTATAATTCTTAAAACTACAAAAATCTAAAACCTCTCCTTGAAAGGCATCGATTGTCTTTAACTCCTTCTATACGGTGCCTTAGAGCAGAGATCGTGAATGAAATTGGCTCCCACATTAAATAAGTGACAATCAAACAATCAAGCAACGGTTACACATACACACATACACTCACATACACGCAGCATGCATGCACATAAACATAGCCGTCACCATCACATCTGTGAAGCATTAGTAATGTTTATACAGTGCCTTCGGCTTGCACACACACACACACACACACACACACACACACACGCACGCACGCACGCACATTATCACTACCTCAGACCTAATAGCTTCCACAGTCCGTCATCGATGGAGATATTCACACTTTTGTAAATATAAAGCCGCTCATCATCGTCATTAGCACGCCCTATCGCATTCAATTGGCACTTTGCATTATTCATTCCGGCACGCTTTCAATCCTCTTTTCCTATTAATTTGCATATTTATTCTTTTGGTACTTTAAAGAAAGTTAAAATTAATTTAAGCATTTCAAAGAATAATTTCTTTTGAAGCGATTCTTTTTACTAATTATTTAGTATAAAGTAATTGTCGAACTCTGTAACAATATCATATCATTCGTACTGGAAAATTTCGATAGAATAGTTTGCTGATGGTTTAAATTAAATTTAACAAAATCATTTCATATGATATTTATTTGAGAATGAGTAATGAAGAATCCATTGTATATTTTATTTTAAATAAATTTTTTCAAAAAAATAAGTTGAATGGAAAAAATATGAAAATGTAAAATTTTAGGTGCTTTTCGAAGGATGTTTTAATCAGATTGAAACAACTCAAGCAGAGCGCAAATGTTCTTCCGTAACAATTACCGAATCTGACGAAAAGCAAACATATCCTGTCGGTTTGGAATCCATTGAACGGTTTATTTTTATTACCGTATAAAATACCTGTTTATTCTGTATAGAAGAAGTGGAAATGAAGCTATTCGATAGATGTTCACGGCATTCATAGACAGGCATTTGAATAGTTGAGTGCCGTGAGATTAACAAATTTACTGGAATAACTGAGTAACCGCGGGAGCTAACAAATTAATGGGAATAGCTCTGGCTTGTGCAAATGTAATGGAATCATTCAAATAGGAAAAAAACACGAATTCCTTAAAATTTTTGCCTTCTTTTTCATAAATGTTTTTCTAAGCAGAAAATATCATTTTACTTCTCTCATTCATTCTCTCTGCAATTCTTTCCACTCTGGAAGGTGTCACTTTCAACGTTTACATTTCAGCCCATAATGCGGCTTTGTCCAATATAATAGCGCCATTTCTAAAAGATTAATTAGGAACTTAGTAGAACTTATTTACTTGGCATGCAGACAAATCAGTGAATAACACTTTTTCTAGGGATTCGAAATATTGAAATTTTTAACAATTTAGCAATAACCCAGCAAGTTTTTCCATTTAGTAGCTTCTTCGTTGCATAGTTTTTTTTACCAAATATTAAATTTAACAAAAGTTAGGTTTTTAAGGAATGATAGACTTTAAAAAAATTTAGGAATGCATCTGCTATTATCAATCATAAAGAATTGTGCAAGATTAAAATAAGTTTCAGGAAATGGGATATGGATGAATGAGTGTAAAAGTTTTAAGTTGGTTGAAAACTGTTAAAATTAAAAAATATTTCAGGTGTAATTCATATTTTAATATTTTAATAGCTTGTATTGTGCAGAAAAGTAGCCCACGAGGTATCAGAAAAGACATAAATATGCTTAAACATATATATTTTCTCTAGTCTTAATCTCTTTATGTAAGCTTGACCTTTCTTTCCATTACTGCATCCTGCGTCTCATCTTTCTTATCCTGTATTTTTCCTCATTCATAAAATTTCTTCATCTCATTCCATATATTTCTCTCCTAAATCTTTGTCAAAACCAAAAATTTCATTAATTATTAATTATGCAAATAGTGAAGCTTTCAAATTAGTTCTTAAAAATTTGCATAATTTGCAGCGCCAGTAGTTCACTGCCGTTCTCAAGTACGGTATTATATGGTTCCGGGAGAGAGTTAGGTGCTGACGGCGGTAACGGAATTATGGATATGGATCGCCTTTTACAACAAACGATGATCCTATCAACGGATGCTGATTTCATGGCGAACAGAATTTTGCAACGTGTTCCGATGAATTTGATGAATGGATCTTCCCAAGGGCTGGTACCAATTAGTACAACGGGTATGTGCCAATTGCATCTAATTTTAGCTAAGTTTCTCGTCGGTTTTATTAGCTAATATCAGTAAAAATTGATACCATGTTTTAAGATATAAATTTTTACTCGTGTATCTATAAATCAGTTAATTGCATGAAGATATGATAGTGTGGCGAAGAGTGAAGGTGAAAAGTATGGATTAAAAACTGTAAGAAACTGTGATTGCATAATCAGATCAAACATTACTTGAGCAGGAATTAACATGTTCATAATCTCCTGTTTTCACTACCCTTTTGATCTTTTAGAATTCCTTTCAAAATTGAACTACAATCCCTCATCTTTTCTACCAATTTCACGTGAATTGAAATTAAGTTAATTTCTATTCATATTTCTACTGTTTTTATAACCGTGTTCGTTTAACATTTCTGGCTTCCCAATAATTATCACGATCTTTATGTCGGCTACAACCATCTTTCATTTTTACGCATTACAATTTGTGAAATTTTAATTTATTATTTTTCAGAAGATGTACCCGGTTCGTCATCTGTATCGGTATTCTCGTCCACAACGCTAACAGCTCGAAACAGTTCTAAAACTTTAAAATGTCCGAAATGTAACTGGCATTACAAATATCAAGAAACATTGGAAATTCATATGAAAGAAAAACATGCGGGTCATGAGGTTTGCTATGTCTAATTATGAATTCCTGCATGCTATCAAATAATCTACACTTACATTACTATATTAGATTAATCAACGATTCATTAGATTCATAAGTAAGGTGATGCAGTGATACCTTGTATCATGACTGATTCATGTCAAAGATTTTTTAATTAAATTTCAAATAATTGTCATGATCCTTAACAAACAATCTTGAAATATTATTCTAGGTGAAATGTATCTTTTGCTTGCATAATCGACCACATCCTCGATTGGCCCGTGGTGAGAGCTATTCATGCGGCTACAAACCGTATCGTTGCGAAATATGCAAGTATAGTACTACAACGAAGGGTAATTTGAGCATACATATGCAAAGTGATAAGCACTTACATGCGGTGCAAGAAATACCACCTACAGTTACAGGTCAGGTACTTATTTATCCAATTAGTTACTGACTTTGGACTTTTATTTAATTCTTATCTCTACAGTTTCAAAAATTTTTGTAATCTATAAATAATCTATAGCTTGAAAATATGTTTAGATACTCATTTAAAATGACTTCCTATCCATATTTGCCAAGGAAGAATAATGATGTAAATTATGTAATGTTTTTATGCACACCACTATTATTTTTTATAAACTTCTATGATCTTTCGAATTACTTATCGAAAAATAACATAGTTTATATTTTAGGTAATACGATAGCAATTTCAAGTGGTGATCTGAATACAGAGAATTTACTCCAGTGCATGATTTGCTCCACATATTCGACTGATAATATTTCCAAAATGATCGAACATATTGGTAGGTAGCTCAACTGTCCAAACTTTAGTACGAAATTTTTCTCTTAAAATTTCACGAAATTTCCTTAAACTATATCTTCGAAATGTTTAATTTGTCTAGAATATTAATTTCCTTCAAAACATTGAGTTGAATAAAAATAGCACCTTAAACTTTTATTTATAAAATTTATTAATTATAATGGAGAGTATTTTGTGAAATTCATCCATTTCTACCATCAAAGTTATTTATATCAATGTCCTTCACATGAAAAACTGAAAGTAAACAAATAATCTCTTCTAAATAAAAGTCAAACTATTTTTTAAGAAAAGGACCGAAGTCACCCGGTGGTCGGAGATATCTCATTGATACATGGTGTTTATCATTGTAATCTATGTCCATATAGTACTAATCTGAAAGCAAACTTCCAATTGCATACAAGGACTGACAAACATGTGCAGCGGACACAAACGGTAAGTGAATTACAATTCTAAATTAGTTCCATAAAACAGTTAATACATAATCAACAATCGGTAACCGGAAAACGTACAATTACAAAGTTATAAAGCAATCAACTGCTTAAAACAGCAGGAATGAAATATTGCGTTTTCATTCATTAAATAAATTGAAGTATTACCGGAACCAGTAACATTACTTTTTGCTACACTGAGCCAGACTGATATTATCTGATTTCCTATTATCGGATTAGATTCCATTTCATAACTGATTTCATTTAATCATTTCGTTGATTTGATCACCAGTGATTCTTAATTTTGTAATTGCCTGATTTTATCTTTTTGTTCAGTGAAAAACGTCTGCACATCTGTTCTATCCTATTTAACTTCGTCTTACTATTGCTAAATTGTAACTATCACGTGCGATTATAATCGAAGATATTTACTTATGACATGGAATAGGCATACTTCCAAATTAAGTTAACTCAAGAAATGAACTAAAAGTAATGGGACAAGTAAATAAGAAATAAAATAAACGAATAAGAGAGTTGAGAGCAAATGTTGTATTAAATATTCAGTCATCTAGAGTGAAAAAAGAGAAAAGGGTCTTTTTTTAATTTCATATAAAAAAAATATATTTGTAAAAAAAGGCATTTAAGGAAGGACTATCAAAATTTACTCAGATTTATATTTATGTCAAACAAAATTCCTCCTTGTGTAGGAAGACGAAAAAATGGGATTAATTATTTGCACGGTAATTTTTGAATAAATTTAATTTATATCAAAAATTGCGGTTTTAGTCTGCACATAGTTTTTGTCTTCTTTGCATCCCTTTGTTTTTAAATCAAAATTTTTGAATATTCTGAAAAACTTCGTTATTAAGCTATTCCCAAATTGTCAGTAAATTTTGAAGCAGGCATATAGCAGGCTATCGTATTTCTTAGAGATTCATTTTTGTTAAAATGAAAATTAATTTCTTTGCAGATTTGAGTAGCAGTGATTGCTACACGATTTTTTTCTTTAGAAAAGATAATTTAGAAAAAGTTAATAAGTAATTAAATTTGTCGATAATTTGTAAAAAAAAATGCTATTATGGTTACAATTTCAAAAAAGTCTAAAATGGTGCAAATTGAAACAACTAAAATGTTTGTATTCCAAACTTGTAACTTCAAGTTAATTGAAATAAAGCATTTCAAACAAAACAAGGAAGTTTTTTGATCCGTCAGTACAGAAACTTCTTGACGAGTGGTGAATATATTGCCTGTAATCAAGTGACTGTTCTCCAAGGAAGTTCTACGGTGACAGTCGATAAACTGTTTTGCTGAATCCATTTGATTAATCTATCATTGGCTGGTTTTTTATATCATCAAATTCACTGCAATCGAAAAATTTGAATTCGACTAGCTTACCTTTCACGAATCAAATTGAAAAAGATGTGCGATCGATACCTCCCTTACAATTACAAGATATCAAATATATCTTTGTTTTATGAGAGCTTTCAAGAACTTCCAAGATTTTACACTCCGATCAATGGAAGGAATAATATGCCTTCATGTGCACATTTCGTCTAACTAACATTAAAATATCTCTTCAAAATATTGACATAACAAATTGTCATTATTGCCATTGCCATTACCATTACCATTACCATTACTATTACTATTGTTATTGTTATTGTTATTGTTATTGTAGCAATCAATCATTGTTATATTTCCTGGTGCTATACAGTCAGTCATAAGCACACAATCTCTGTTTACATAGGAATTAAAATTTGAGAAATTTCTTGACTTTATTAATTTTAGTTGAACTAATCGAATACCAATTGGTTGTGAATCAAAAAGGTGAACAAAAATCAAGTAATTAATCTCTTCAATATAGAAGAATATCAAGTTTCATATCATATACAGTAGCTCATCTTTCGTTTATTTTCTAATCCTATCGTCCTCCTTTTTTTATTTCATATCATTCATGAAATAAGTTTACAATAATTACCATACATTTGTTCATTTCAATTAATATTTAAATTTAGCTAAGTTAGTGAATTATTAGGACATCTCTATTTAATTTACATTTCATTATGCTTCATTAAAGTCCACAAGTATTGCTATCCGATTTATTCTAGCCAGATTATTCATAAGTTAATGTTAACTTATCAAAATTTGTCAACGAAAGTTAACCTCTTCTCAATTATTCATCTCTCTTCGATCATTCATCTCATCATTGCAATTCATTACAGCCATCTTTTTCCTTCTTTCCATAATGCCAATCGCCATCATTGTTTACCATTGTTTTCAGCCGCAAACATGTTTCGAGAATCGAACACTGCACGCACTAAGAAACGGACAAACAGACAGACACATACACACACACACATACATATATACATACATATACAATATATTCATCATATATTTACATATATATATATATATACAAGAGGACCGGGAAACGTACACAAACATTCATTTTCACACCTTTTTCAGAGAGATGGAGAGAGAGAGAGAGAGAGAGGGAGAGAGATATGGTTAGATAGACAGATAATACATACCTGTACACAATATACCTCAAATTTTACTTCAATCGACAGGAGCACGTCTTGACATCTTGAAATGTACCAGCAAGCATTCTCACTCATCAGCTGTCATCAGTGTCTACAAGATCATACTTTTTTGAGGGGTACTTATCGAATAGTTGATGAATAGGAAGTACTTCTTAGATAGACTGGTGTTTGAGAAACTAAATGAATATGATTATGATTGTGATACTAATATATATATATACCATTATTATATTCAACAAATATATCGTATAACAATTAATCGATTCCAATGAATCTTTCATCTTTATTCATTACCTTCTTTATATTTGAATCCTATGACAATTGAGTATTTTGCGGGAAAAAGTTGCCAACTATTATCACTTTTAAAATCATCCTCCTATGATAGCATCCTTTTATTCGTTATTCAATTTTATATTATAATTTCACGGATTAATGTTAAATTTTTTTAGCACTTTGTTAAAATTATGATGTCCTTGAAAGTTTCCACCACCCTTATGGCTTCCGTAATTTCTTCCTCGCAATCGAACAATGTCATTTCTTTCGATGATGGTATTTTCTTGAGTTAAAATGATAGCGGCAATATCTATCTATTTGCTGTTGTCATTTGGTTTTAGATATGGATACCATATAAAAGAATTTACATTCCCATAAGCAAAATAACTGTATGCTTTTTTTAAATATATCTCCTTTACCTCAAGAACTTTTTCTTGGAAGGAAAGAAACCTTTCTTGAAATTTCTCCCTTTTTTTCTGAAACTGAAAAATAGTTAATGTTATTACCAATTTTTGCATAATTAATGTTATCACCTTTCTTCAATCTAATATTTCAGCTATGAACTCAAATCTCATTTTACTTCTGAAGCCTAGAACGTCATATTCCAATTTTAAATGAACATACTTTATGTATTTTTTTTGAATGTATTATATATGACAGAAGCTATGATATCTTTACTTAGTAATTCGAGTTTTTCAGTGCTTAGGCTATTTAACAAATGAAAATTTCTGTTTATTTCTTTAATTTAATTTAAAACTCGATCTCCTAACTTTTCACAACGACCTGATTTTGGGATTGAAGAAAGTCCGAGATAAAAACCTGAATATTCATTCTTTCGTGCGGAAAGTTGAATAACAACTGATCACGACATCCAAATGAGTTCAGGATTAAATAACCGTAAATATTAAATTGGCATGAGTTATTTAAGAAACATTTCTTAATACATAATTTTAAAATGTTAAGAAAGAAATATAATCAGAATACTTTAGAAAACTTCTAGATTCTAAAGCCGCCTTCGAATTTTGTTTGACATATCTTAGATGCATTGCAAGTCCTACCGTATGTTTTTTTCTTAGAATGAATAAGCAAATGTTAGTATTTTAAATATTCTGAAATCTTTCTCACTGTTTAGATATGTGTGTTTCCAGCTCATATTCATGCTCCAAGGAAATTTAATCAATTTTTTCCAATATTAAAAAAATTGCTTTTTTAAATCTTTCAGATAAAAAGAATAAAAACGAAAGAGAGATAATATCTATAACTAGTCTGCCGGTCCATTTAACTGATTGGATTGTACATTTGATGCAATATTTGCTTTTGTAGCACTCAGTTTTTCCTAACGGATTGCTTCGGATGCGCTTGAATACTTACTTCTTCATTTATGAAAACATATTATGTATACCTAATCTTCCTGCACTTTTAATTTATACATGCTATGAAGATTTGCATAATTTCGTGAAGTGGAAATACATCGACTTTTTTCTCAGATCGATCATATTGAAATCAAAAGCAAATGTTTGATTTCCAAATCTTTTTTAAATGTGACTTTAAAATTTGGAGAGAGTTTATAGCAGCAAGAAGAAAAGTGCGTATAAATTCGCTCATTGAATTTTTGAAATCGGAACGGTAAAAATGCATTTGCGGCAAGCCTTAGCGTGACCTTTCGAACCGTTATCATGAACCTGAATTATAGGATCAGATAACAGAAAGTCAGAGACATGTAATCCTGATCTCCTCATAGATTTTTTTATGCCTTTCGAATTAAAATTGGTAGCAATTGCAATGGTAGCAAATGAGTGACCTCGATAGGTTGCGTTCCTATAATTATGCCCGCATTGTGTTTGAGAATCATTTTCCCATCATTCCATATCTCCCCAATTGTTACGCATTATCCGACCCTTTTCTCTTCCTCCTTTCCTCAAAATATCACAAACGATAGGTGACGGAAAGGAGGTAAAGGAAACGAAAAGAGGATGGAAGAATAATTTTAGAGGAAAACAGGTGCAGAAAGGATATGCGATGCTACTTTGCCATCGTTTCTTCGTGCGCAAAATTTTCACAGACCGCTTACGGCCATGATGCGGTGATGGCAGGCAGCTCGTAAGGCCATTGACCTATTCGCCTCATCCCTAATTACAACTCTTTACAGGACACACGAGCAATGACGGTACAGAGATTGAACAATATACGTCCCGAAGACCTTCAAATTATTCATTCGTCAACAAAATTCGTTCCTCATTATGATTTGACGTTGAGACGGAAGTCTTCATAATTTCGAATTACTAAACTGATTATCCCTGTAGTTAAGCAAACTAAGAAGTTAAGTGATAGTATCTATTGATGAAATCTGTAGATTTCATATAATTAGTGAGCACACTGGCAAAGATAGAAAAATGTAAAATAAAGCTGTAATCATTTTCAGAAAAAGCATTTTTCGAAAAGATACCTTCAATATTAGACGATCAAATCACCAATAATTTTATCGGTTGGAATTGATAGGAGAAAATATACTATCAGTTCTAATTTTTCTTTACAGATACTGTACATTTCAATAAAACATGTATCTGTCATTACTGACAGACATAACATACTAAATGATAGGGTAATTATAGGATCTTATCTTATTATGTACATTGGCGCATGAATTGTGGTGCTCCACATGGCTCATTACATCCCCAAATTTCAGTACAGCGAAATTTCGATATGATCATTGCTTAGGTTGAACTTGCAGAATGGTATACATTGCTTCTATTGATTAGGCTGCTGGCAATATCGGCTAATAAAAGAATGGAAAATACATATTTTACTACCATCTGGATGATTTTTACACATCAAAAGATGCGAAATATTTGTAGTGTCAGTGAAAAGATTCATTAGAGGTATTGAAATGTACCTGTGATAGTACTGTTGATAAATATGCCTATTATTGAATCGAAAATTTTTTCCTCTCGATTGCTCATCTCTAAGTGTAGCGATATTGTAACTTTTGATTTGTGATAACAAAAAGGATGTTGAAAGGGGGAGAGAAAGAGAGAGGGGCGAAGATGCTTTTCGTCTGTTAGCTAACTTCATCATAGCATCCTGTTCTTTTACCATCATTTAGACACACCTTACTGAGATGAATGTACTTTTAGAAATTCTGCCCCGCCCCATCCCGAATGACACTTAACTTCATCCTGACAATTACAGATTATCAGTGCGAAGTTGTTGAACAAAGATAATTACAATAACTATTGTTATTGTTGTAGCAATGCGAATATAAGAATCATAAAGTAAACTAATCTCTAATCAGTAATTGACCTAGTAATGAAAAGGACAATTGTGTTTTTAGTAATCTTTAGCTAGAATTTGGAAGATGAGGAAAGAAGTTTGATTGCTTCGCTTCTTTTAAAATTCTCTCTTCATAACTTTCCCTCAACAACAAAAATAATTTCCCTTTAATGATTCCCTATTCTCTGCTTACTTCCTCCTTCTGCTAATGCTATAATTAATTATTACAATACTATTTCATTGCTTTGTTTCACTTCTCTTCTACCTTCTAATCGTTGTATTATTTAGTATTGATAGGCGTATTATTTTTTTCATTCTCTGATCAATTGAGGATTGTTTCTTATGATATGGATTGAATGGTAAGTGGTAAGAGAGATACTGTAACGGTGAACTCTTTGTGAACTTTTTACAAAAGATATGCATACTGTTGGACTGATGAGGAGAGGTAACGGATAAAGTAACTTCAAGAGGGACAGTTGGCTCATGTGTTAACTCGTTACAGTGATGGCACTGTCCTGGTTTGGTGACTTGAAATGATGTGCAAAACATTTTTGAAGTAACAATTCGTTTCATTTTCATTTCGATCATGATATATCTTAATTTGATGAGAAAAAAGTTCGAAGAAAGGACCGGACTAAAAAGGAAGGGGAAAAGGGTGATTGGTGGCACGAAAACATTGGTTGGCATTATCTTCAGTTACACAATATCCTGCTACTCCACTAACAGAGGCGCACCATATTGAGGCCGATGAATAAATATTTCGCAACAACAATACCTACCAATTGGCCCTTGACGTGCCGATATTGGCGCAATAATCGTTCACTTATTTTCCCATCTCTTCTTTATATTGTTTGTAAATTTCTAATAAATTATTAACAGCAGTCATAGTTCAACAATTATAAACAGTCACACAGATTTTGTTTTAGTATAATTGTCGTTATAACTGTTATTGTTGATAATACTGAGATAATTATTGCGGCCAATTACGGTAAAATGTATCCTTTCGATCGAGAACGGGTTATTTCGAATAGAATAAGAGTAATCGTACAACTTGGTTTCTTACTTTTGGTTTCTTACTTGGTTTCTTGGTTTCTTACTTGGTTTCTTACTTTTTGTAGGCTAGTAACACATATTAGTGATATAATCAATCGTGATTGTCTACATTATCAATCAGATCGGATTTTATGGGAGATTAATGGAGATTAATATTTATATTTTCATTGCTGTATCATTATTTAAATTATTAGCTTGAAATCATCTTTGCTTTTTATTCCATATTCCCGCATTAATCCTGAATGCTTCATTTTAATCACATCATCTTTCCACTTTGTTAATTTCTGTTCATCTGTAATTCTTACATACTTGACTGCATTACTTAATCACTTTTCAATCTTTATGATTTGCATCAATTATTAGTTTGCTTCCAAATATTACTCGAATGATTTTTGTCCTTAGGCCTCTTTTCAACAACAACTACCGCCATCATCACTTCTATTACTCATCATCAAATTGCAATTAAGTGGTAGTAAAGTGGTCCACTTAAGCGTATCTATAAATAATAGCTCGCTGCCACCAGCACATCAATAATGCGAAGAAGTGGAGGAGAAAGAAATAGTTAGTAATTACCGAATAGAAATGACCCACCAGCGAAGTACCTTAACTAGAAAATATTCCTATTGTCCTCCCATTGGGTTAATGCTTCCGCATTAATTGCAGCTCTCCATCTTCCTGAGCACATCTATCTTTCCTAATGAGCTTTTTGAAGAAGTTTATTCGAGAAAGGTGAAGATTATCCTATTTCATATGCACTCTCTTTTTCAGTTTAGCGTCCTACTTCTTCTTTCTTTCTCTCTTTCTGTCAAGGTGATGACCAAATGTGACCTTTAATGCTTCAAAAAATGTATTGTCCGCCGGTCTTTGTTTTCATTATTTTATAGAACACTATGATTTTTGGTTGTGTGAGTGATATAAATGACTATGAGATATCGAAAAAATATGATGAATACTTAAGGCATACAGTTTTTTTGCTTTTATTTATTTCGTCATATTATGGTATTCGATCAATGAAAACTTTAGAGCGATGCAACATAGAATAAAGTGTCGTAAACACTAATAACTCCAATCTAACAAGTATCGCTTCGTTCCTCGATGTTGTAAAAAGATAGCCTTGGCGAATGAAGATGTGCAGGAGCACAGCGAAAAATTACACTTCTCAATAAATCTAACAAATCGAGCAATAACAATAATCTAGACGCCTTGATTTTGTTTCATACAAATTTTAATGGTTGGATAATATTTTTTGTTGCTTGAAATTGTCTTGCGTTGTTGTAACAGAAGTTGTCATCAAAGAGAGACAGATCTACATGGAAAAAAGAAGAAGGATTGATTCAAATATCACGTAGTAGTATCGCAAAAAATTTAAGATATCTTTATTGCGACATCATAATGCATGTTGATAAGAACATTCAATTATTTAGCATCTTTCTGATCAATTTTTTGATATTTCGTAATCCCAATTTTAAAATAACATTTCTGTAAAGATTTGGATTGTAATCTCCCTTGCTCACTGTATCATAGCTTTTCGGTTAGCTTAATTTGTGGCTTCTCATTTCTTTTCCATGTGTTCTTCACCATTTATCGAATGCTATGTTCACATAAAAATTGTCACGGAAAATTTCCAATTGATCTATTACTAAATTATACTTAATGTTACTCTATACAATATCATTTCATACGTAACAAAATCTTTTTGTCGTATACATACGTCCGTGGTATCATGCATATATCACTGACAAGGCATAGTACTATTAATTGTTGCGTAAAGTCGTAGTAATTACTGTGGCAAGTATGGGCGGTGCTAACATCCTCATCGGCTAATTCATTTGCCATTGGAAAGGCGTGGCTCTTCGCCAGCGCTGATTGGCCAATTTTGGTTACAAATGAGCGAATTGTCTTCAAATCTTCATTACCATCACCTGCACCTTATCATCAGGAATCTTTACAGATACGCATGCATGCATGCAATTCATGCGTGTATGCATGCCTATCATCGTTGTTATCATTATTTACTACTCCAATCAACGGTATTTTCTATCTCGTTGCATAAAATATCATCTCATTGAATGTTCTTTTTTTCAACATTTCCTTCTTTTCGACTGATAAAGAAAAAAATGCTTCTGAAGTTGTCATATTTTAATGGTTTTAAAAGAGGAGCATTTAAATGAATGCTGAAAGTAATTGCTGATATTCTAAGGAAAGAGGCCTACGATGGAGGAACAGAAGTGCTGAAGATTGATTCCTTTCTCATCATTGCTCTTTTAATGATTTATTGGTCCATAGAATTCTTAGTTCAGAAATTATAATGTTACTTATTTTTGAAAACATCCTTATAAGATGTGTGTAATTTTGATGAGATAGAAGCTAATTATGGATAGATCATGAATTTCTCTTCTGTTTATTGTCGATAATAAATTTTGTTTGGTTATAGCAGTTTGTATGATTTGAAATAATATTAACTTCTCTTATAGCCGCTTTCACATATCATGTGATCTTAATTTCTCACAAAACGCAAATTACAACTTCGGCAAATTACGTATTTACTTCTCATCCTTTGAAAACGAGTTCAAGTATGGAAAATTCATTATTTTTATTTATTCCAGATGAATCATATGCGTGAGGGTGGCGCTGGTGGAATATCATTATCAGCGTCGGCAGCACTCTGTCGGATTAGTTCCGCCAAAAGTGCTGTACAGGTTCGTTGTCGCGCATGTCAAGAAATCTTGTCATGGTAAATTTTTCCTATATTTCTTAGTTTCTTATAATATTTTATTGATCTTTGTTTTATATCTGAAAATCCTTCGTCGATTTCCCACTAATTGTTATGTTACGCATATCAGAATTCAATACCGATATACATGATCTTCCATCATGTTGAGGTAGTTTTCTTAGAAAACTATTTTAAAATGATGAAGGATCATGTGGTTTCTCTGAATTCGATACGATAGCAGGATTTCTTCTCATTGTTAAAATAAACGAATTTTACTCCACACTTTTTACGATTTTATAATATTTTACGAATTTTTAAATTTTTGCATTCTTTCTTTACTTTTCGCACATAATGTTGCATAAATTATTTTTTCGATAATAAAAAGCTAAAAATGATTTGAGATCCATTTTCATGTTTTGATAATGAATCATTCTGTAGAAAAGCTGATAAAGAGCGCAAAGACAGGAGAAAACGAAGACTTATAAAAATGTAATAATAGATTTTTTTTGCATGTGCAACAAAGAAAGCAAATGTTTATGTCGATCCGTTCATATTCCGTTTTTCCACCGCACATTTTTATAGTCATTTAAATATCGATAACTTGCACATCCCAATATTTTCACTGTAATGAGAAGGCTTAAAATCATTGATTGAAGAGTTGGAAATTTGATTTCCCTAAATTCAACTCTTCAATCATTGATAAACAGCCAAGAGATCAATTTTGAAGTCAGTAAATTAAGATTTTTCCGGTATTTATTTCGATTGCATAATATGGTTTCCTTCAGGGAAATCGTTTCCAGAAAAAAATTCAAAACGACTTTTTGCCAGTCGATTTAATTTGATAATTTTTAAATACTTTTTCAGCCCATTGGCATTACGTGAACATTGTGAGAGTCGTGCACACTCTGTCCGGATAGCGCAACTTACATCGATGTTTAATGAAACTGGGAACACTCCGGGTGGTAGCTCCGCACCAACGACAGCGATATCAGTGTCACCGAGTCCTGAAACTGTTCTCGAATGTCGGCACTGTTCTTTTGAGACAACTGATACTGCGGGCGCTATCGGTGAACATTGAATATAAAATATAGGTCGATTTTAAACTGGATGATATCCTTCTTGATATCATCCTCGCTGCACATGATTTTTGCTAATTAGAAAAGCTTCACTGATTAAATTTTGCAGCCAAATTTTGAAACAGTTTTATTCTTATTTGGTGTAAGTTACAGAACACATGCAGCAACATCCACCAAATGTAGAAGGTAGTGGAACAGAACAGGAATGTTTGAATCTGGATGCTGGTTGCGGTAAGTGTATTTTGCATTACAGTAATATTAGAGATAAAGAAATACAATTGGTCCAAAAGTGCATACAATCTTATTCTGCTTCTGATAATTTTTTAAAAAATTTTGCTACATAGGAAGGTTTTGTTTGTCTTGCAGTAATCGTTATTTCAGCCTTGTCATTGTGCTAATCCGGATCCTTGTTTTTAATATTTTGCATAGGTTTATTACATTTAATGAGTGGTAGTCCATAACAAGGCTGAAATAGCGATTACTGCAAGACAAACAAAACTAGGACTTGCAATTTTGTAAGGCTTTATTGGCTGCTTATTTCATACTTGTACTTATCAATTTTCACTCTTTGAACTTGGACAGCATTTATTTCTGAAAATCTTCAGGCCACAAATTAGACTCTCAGGCTGTTTCAAAAATCGTTTTCAGATTTACTTTTCCTAAAATTCGCTCCGAAAATAAATGGTTTTATTATGATAACTGTGGGAAAAAAGTGTGAAGGGTGCCCCAAAATCAAGTGTAGTCTGTGATCACGTGCAGTTAAAAGGCAGTACGATTGCAGTTGATGCTTTGGAATTTTTAAAAACTAGTTTTCGATTTGCTTCTGCGATTAGTTAGTAGTTAATTGTGGATTGAGGTCTGAGAGGTAGTGGAACCTGTGTGAATCAAAGAGGTGATTGGAAACAGAAAAGAGGAAAAAGAATAATCCCTAATCTTTAAATTTTAAAATTATCTTGATTGGAAGCAACGATCTGTCTACTATTTCTGACTCCCCTCATTTCACAAAATCACTTGTTGAAAATGTACATAAACGATAATTGGTTTGATGAATAGCAAAGAGATAGATGAGCCGAATTGGGGGGGAGAACTGAATAAAATAGTAGTTACGTACCTCCTACCGAGATTAAATTAATATAGCTATTAGCGATGCGAAACTAATGCAGGCTGTGACGACAAATCCTCAAAATCTAACAAACAGTAGATGATTGACTTCTCTTGCTCCACTCCCATCATTTTAATCATGATTCTGTATAATCCAATTTATCAAAATCGGAAAATTTGATTTTGCAAGTAATCATGATAGTGATAATCTGCTAAAGGAACAATGAATAATTCCTTTTGCATTGAAACCTTAAACCGACAATAAAATTATACCTAAAAATGTAAATTAGCATTCACTGATAAACATAACCGGTTTCTAATGAGTTAATAAATCAAATTATTATTAATTTTATCTTAGTATTTTATTTGTCATTGCTATTATTGGGTTATCTTCACCGTTAACAGTACCAAATTGTGGGAAATGAATAATTGAAAATGAATGCTAAGAGATCATACTATTAGTTGTTATTGAATTTTGTAATCAAGAAATCATGCTATCACATAACAAAAGCAATTATAAATATAATGTCATCGTTATATCGCTACTCATTCACTGCAATTTTCCATTTCATAAAAGAGGCAATGAATCACAAATCGTTAAATTGTATTTGGCAAAAATTAGCACTGCTTGTGCTCGTATTTACATTTTATGAAGAACTTTCTCTTTGCAAATGCTTTGAATTTTTGTTTGTTAAACATTAATATATTTTAAATTCTCAAGAAAACTGTGTCATAGTGAAATTCAATTGCTATGATTAGTAATTGTGTAACTTGTAGTGTTTACAAAACAACACATTGATCATGCTAGCATGCATACACATGCAGAAGGCAGCAAAATGATGATGAATAATTTATGTAAATTTGTTGTGCAAATTGTGTGATACTTCATGTTTGATCCTATAAATTAAAAGGAGAGTTAGATTCAATTTAGTATGAATATAATTGACGGAGATACATTGACCAATTATACATTATCGTAATATTAATATTTGTAATTAAAATTAATACGCAAATACTTGCTAGATTTTGCAACATTTTTATATGAAATTGTGAGAATTTTTGAAATTTAATAAGGAATGAAATTATTATTTCAAGTTTGGATGGATTTGTGTCCCAATGGAAAATTTTTATAATGAAAAGATGAATGAATGTTAGTGAATGGTTTTAGATAGATTGTTTTTTATAATGAATGAATTGTTGGGTTAGATTGTAGGATGGGAAGAGAAATTGTAAAAATATTATTGCTCAGGTGGACCATCATCGTTTCTCGAGCCGTATCACTGCATCAATTTTTCAAATCAAACATTTAACCCATCCGTAGATTAATTTTTCCTTTTTTTTTATAAGAAAATTTCGTAGAAACTTTGCCTTTTCAGTGTTTTTTTCATTTACAACTATCAGAAGTTTAAATAAAATTATTGATTGATCTTTAGAATATCAATTATTTCCATTGTTGGCATGTGATAGGATTCATTTTGCAGATGTATAAATTTATGGTTTTTCCAGATTCTTTTCAATACTGTCACGTCATATCCTAAAAGTTAAATTATTCTGACGGTATTGTCTGATAGCATTAATGAATTGTGAATTGCAGAATAATTTTTGTATAGTAGAAATAGTTGTTAATAATTATGAAATGGAAATCAAATGCATAATGTTTTGTTTCCCGAATATTCCTTATTTACAGAGCTAATTTCATAAATCACAAACTCTCATTGGACTATTTGATGCATCATTATCTTTAATGCCTTCTTCACGTGTGAGATATGTTTGTCCGGACACATAAATAACTGCTGCGCCCATTCAATAATGTTTTTAAATCTCTGCAATTGTTTAAAGGATTCACTTCGTTATTAGATTGTTCGCCGCAAGGCAGCAATGAACCAGGTAGTATACTCTTATCGTGTCTCAATTTTTTTTGGAAAAAGATTAACAATGGTTGTCAAATTATTGTATTTGATCCATCCACTGAAGAGACCTTATCTTAATGGTTTACCTTTGTCCTCTCTTCACTGTGTGCTATGTCAGTTTTAATTATAATAAATTCCAAAGAAATACTTTCGTGTATCTTTTTATTTGCTTATTAAGTATTGCAAATACTATAATTATTAAGATGTGACGAAAGAGGTGATAATGTGAAAGAAAAAATTGAGAAGTGATACCTTTGTAATATTCAAATTGCTTTGCTATCAGCGCCTATTACATTTACCGTCTTTTCTTATTTGCGCTTCTCTTCAAATTGTCACATTTCTTCCTATCACTGTTAGATTTCTTAGTGTGTAATTAGAGGTTCAGTGAGGTAGAACGAGGTAGCTAAGGTGATGAATGAAGGGAAGAAACGAGACGATAATTGTCGGCAACATTAAGAAGGACTGGACCTGTGAGCTTCACATGAAAACAAACGATGGAAAGAGAGGCAAGAACTGGAAGTGAAGAGAAGAAAAGATTAAAATAAAATAAATGAAGGGAAAAATGAGATGATTAACGAAGGTCACATCATACAATTAATGTTGTGCTACACTAAATATATATATATTTGAAGTGAAATATTCAAACTGCGGGGAACATGGTCCGCTTGATTGAGAGGACGCTAAGAGGTACGCAGGGGCGGGGAATGCCAGGAAAGCAGGAAATGCTAATGGTAATGATGGGCGGTAATGATGTTGTTCGCGATATTGGTAAAATCACAATAGCAATTACAATCAAACGAGCAGATTTTGCAGGGGTATTACCAAATCAGGAGAGAAGAAGACATTCGTATAAATTTGCTAATGCTGAAAGAAGAATTCAATTCTTGAAATTGTCTACTTGTTGAAAATAAATTAGTTCAGCTGTATTTCAAAAATGACCATTCAAATGTCTGAAGTTCTAATGCTTATAGTTTAATTATCCTTAAGCATAGAGCACATTAATATCGGGGGAGTTGAAACTGATGTATAAGTAAAAAATATACAGGTGATAAATTGCTCGAATTTATTCTGTTGTATAAATCATGGTAATAATGGTGTTATTTGTGTGTCGTGATTAATTAACAATAGCAAATGATTTGAGTTAATAAATTGAATTACTGGGCTTCGTAGAGATACTACGTTTAATTTAATCTCGAGAATGGTTAGTGTAGACTTTTCACAGTAACCAACTTATTTGCTGACTTATCTGCCGTATAAATCATGGTAATAATTTAAGACTTCCTTTTTATTAATTCTAAATTTTAAATTCACGAAATACTTTTTTTTGAGGAATATAATTTTATTTTAGATTAGCTTGATAGTGCTGAATTCAGTAGAGGACATTTGTTTATGATATATGACTAATGATGCATACTTGTTTCCTTCCTGCAGTAGTACTTAGAATATAGCTTTACAATTTTGGTGTGATTGGTCTCCACGACTAATTCGCTTATCTTGCCATACTATTTGTTCCATACACGTTTCAACAAGATGATAATTATAATAATTTGCTGTATTAGATGTGTAGGATAAAAGAAGAGAGGAAAAGCTTTAGGAGAAGTAAAGGTATTCCTTTCAATTATGCAACAACATTGAAATGGACAAAAATTTATTTACCATGAACCAAATGGATATTTTTATATTGCATAAATCGCTCTATTGATTGTTGCTTGAGATTTAAATTCTTCCTTATTGATCATAATATTTTGATTATCTTGACTGCCATCATCTCAGTTCATGGCTACTTTTCGTACTTCTATTATCATTAAAAAAGCATGATTAAATTAACGTCACTCCATAAGATATGTCTTCTGAACTCTGACCTGCTTTTGGAGTGCCTCTTTTTCGTGCTGCTCAGCTTGGATAATGAATGGATACGTAAGTCTTTATGCGGAGATTTTGAATAATATCTGTTTTTAATGAGGACGTTTTTGTTGGTTATTAACAAAAATTACTGTTATCATTCATTTGATTATCTTTCGCTTGTGATTTGTTTGTTTTTTATTATCACAGTTGTTGCTAAATCATTCGAATTCAATGCAAATTTTACTGTAAATTTATTAAATTGTTATTGTTGCTACAGAAAGATTGGCGAAATGTCAATTGTGCTATCATTAAGGAGCTGATAATTGTTCAGCGTTATCACTATAGTTACTGTAATTAGCATTCATTTGATGACATTTTCATAGAAATTTTGTTTTTTAATTTCCACTTCGTTGAATTTCATTTGACTATATTCGGCGAGCGTCAGACAGTTTTCGAATTATTTCAACACTGAAATAATTATGATTAAAAGAGGTTTTCAAATGCATATGCGACACGATATTGTCGGTATTATCACTGTAAAATTTCCACTCAAAATTCCTCTTTTTTCAAATTAAAATTTTGGTTGATGTGTTCAATACTTGTAATTTATTCTACTGGGTGCACATTCTGTTCTTTTTGCTATCATTTAATTGATGTATTAAATTGAGACAAGTAGAAAGGCATAAGCATCGTTTGATATTTCAATTGAGATATGCAGAGGTATTCTTCCATAATGCTCTTTTGATGATTGTTTTAATCGAAACATTCCGCGCTGTGGTAGTTCCTGATACTATTATCGGATCAATGTTTGTTCGTATCATTGATTGACTAAATGGTGCTAGCAATTAAAAAATTTCTGTAAAATTCAAGAAGGATAGAATATACTAGATTTCGGTAAAATTGAAGAAGGATAGAATATACTAGATTTTCGAAAAATTGAAAGAAAGAAATTATTCGTTCCATCACATGGAAATAGAGATTGAAGGAGAAGATATGGAAGTTGAGATTTTTATGCTTTTCCATTTGCTAAATCTGATGAAGAAGAGGCTCGATTTGTTTGTTTAGTAACAATCCTAATTTCAAATAGGCATCATTGGGTGTGTAAATTCAACAGTCACCAGCAGAATTATTGGTACTGATGCGATCATCATGACATACTAATAATGAGTTCAAATGGATTCGCGCATATGTCTCCCTCTCTCTCTCTCTCTTTCTCTCTCTCTCTCTCTGTTTGTTAATTTATTATTACTCTAAGGGGACATAAAATGGAATAAAAGTATGTAAGTTACTTTCAATGAATGAAATGTCTTCATGGACAGGTTGGGTTGTATGGGAATCGATCAAAAATACACTAAAAATTATTTTTGAATAATTTTTATTTGAAAAAAGGTAAATGATAGAGGAAGAGAAATGAAATGATTATATTAAATTAAAGGGAATGAATGTTAGTGTGATTCCTGCTTGCTTGTAATAAGTTTTTTCTTCTTTTTTCTTCATCTCTTCCAACCAACCTTACTTCCATTCCACACTAATGTTTCTCTGATCTCATCGAGGATTTTCTTTCTTCTCAAAATGATTTCATTTTTACGGTTACTTACTGAATTTGAAAACGTCTCTGTTGATTAATGATAATGATAATGACAATGATAATAATAATAATATCATTATGGGTGCATTTGTCTGATTTCTAACTGCAATTATTGCAAAAATTTAGGGAGAAAAAAAACCTCTTCTTATCTGATAATAACAGAAGTGATGAAAACACCTTATCTTTCTCTTCATTTCTAAATATTTTTAGCTGGGTTTATTTTGATAATGCCCATATTCTCAAAATTTCTTCAATTACTTAATCTTTCTTTTTTTAATTAGATTCTTTGGCTATTTATATGTTAGTTAGTAAGTACCTAAAGCTTATACACTTAATGATAGCAATAGCAATAGTAGCTAATAGCACTAGCAAACATCGATATACTTGTCCTCTCTTTTTTTTCCTTTTTTCCTTTCCTAAATTGTTCAATCGTTTGGTATGGATGAAAAATAGGCCTGAGGCCCAAAAGTTACACCAAAGTCATCAGGTCTTAAAGGAATCGATGATTGATGTAGGCAATAAATATTAAACAAAATTTTAGATATGATGACAAAAGCTAATTTAGGTTTAGCAAGCAAATGAATCTTAAATCTTCTTTTTCTAATATTTTACTTTTTTCAATGGCGTCAGCCTAGGAAATCTGATACTGGGTTAGTTGTCCAAAAAAAGTCTTGAATTCTCCTTCCTTGTGTTAGTTTAGCTTTACTTAACCATTACATGTTTCAGAGTTCAAGGCTCATTTTCGAAGTGCGATTATTTATATTTATCCCAAGTCATTCTAAGGGCTATAATGCGTCTTCTTCCTCCTCTTCGTAACAGCTTTCTCTCCTCCCTTTCTCTCTCTCCTTCTCTTCATTTAACTAAACTCACCAATCTTATGCCTTTTTTTAATTTCTAAATTTTCTTCAAGGACTTTTCTCTCACTGTTCAATTTTTCCTTTTCATTCCTCTCTCTCTCTCATCATTCTTTTCATCTTTTATTCCCTTCCCTTTCTTTTTTTGGTATGTTATGGGTAACGGATGTGCGCAGAAAATTTACATTTTGCCAATTAGTTGAGAGACATGAAGCTGCCAGAAATCTTCCCTTTTGACTTTTCCCAAATGACACGAAATGAAGCACAGTGAAAAAAAGGAAGGAATTTCCCTCGAAAGGAATGGAAAGCATTCCCTGCCCTCCTCATTTTTAGCACTTCAATTGATGAGAACGACCCTCCACATACACACACACACACACACACACACACACATACATACATACATATTCATCTCATTCATTCATTCATATAGAAATGTTTGAAATTTCCGATTTGCAGTACCTTTTTTTTTCTGGGATTTCCCTTCACTTTAAAGAGCCAAAGCAATCGTATGAGTTTTTTGTCCAAGTATTGCAACACTTTGCTATCACCTCTATTTACCCTAAAAATACGAAGTTGTTCAAAGATAGCACGATACTTTACTAATCTTACTCTTTATTTTTGGTTTCATTCACTCAGTACTTCTTCCTCTCTCTCCCTCTCTCCCATTCTTTATTTCATGTATCACAGAATATTTCATTAATATTATTACTACCTCACTATTTTTTTTCAAAACATTTTATCAAACATTTGACAAACTTAAGCATAAGTGCGCCACATGAAGTGCTAAATAAAATGTGATGATCAGTTGATCTTTCTTGTAATATAAACCGTTTGGACATCTTTGGTATCTTTTACTACTCCATGTGCAACCTTAGATATCATATGCGATGCGCGCAGTATTGCATTCCTGCAATGACAAATATTGTAGATTGCAACGATATACTGATAAGTGGCAGATGATCCATGTTTCTGATGCAATTATCATGCAAATCACACAACAAGTCTTTCACAATATGCAAAAATTATATCAAACAATTCTTTCGCAATCTGCAAACTTTACTACACGCACTTGCAATTTTCTACACAATCATGCATCAAGTTTGCATGACAGTGCATCGATCGCTTGAAATTCTTATTTCTATTAGCTTAAAATCATTCATTCTGTTTTGGATCCACATGCTATCTTTCCGTATCAGGCGTGATAATAACTAAGGCTTGTAAAAACTTGAAACGATGGATACCGATGAAGTCACGGTTGTGAATAGTTAATTGACAATCTAAGAATTAATTTCGTAAAATAATTGACATTATCAGAGATGCTAAAAATGCTTTTGCCTTTATTGATGTGTGCAAATTAGCATGCCACTTTTTTCACGGACTGATATACCAAATTGAGATAGGAAGAAGATAATAATATTCAGTTGCAAAAATTTGCATATGTAAATTTGTTATGCAGAACATTACTGCACAAAAATAATGTGTTTTATTTATGAAAGTTCAGATTGCAAAAGCAATGGCTACAATTGCACGCTTATTATATTATGAAATCAGTTTACTACATCTTTCAAACTTCAATTTTTTTAATTTTCCATAATGTGTCATATAAGTACCGTTA